GCTATTCACTCACTGCTGTTCAGCATCTCTGAGAATAGACCGAACAGCAGCGAGTAGCCTGCCGAAGGTTCGGCTCAGCCGATCCAGATGTTGGATCTGCTGAGTCGAACTCTTTCTGCACTTCGGGTCGGCCGAACATGCTCACCCGAAGCCACGCAAAGCCACCCGATGTACGGCTGATTTCAGCCGATATACGGCTGAAATCAGCCGTACCAGCCTGAAGTGAATAGCCCACCAGCGTTCGGCTCACTTCTCTTCAGGTCGGTATTTCACTCGGCTGCCTACTTCAGCTTAGTGAATAGACCCCATAGTGTCATAAGCAAATGCAACGTTTCAGAACCACACTTTATCAGGTCTCTCAGGTCTCTTTATCAGGCAAAACAATCTTGGTCACATTGTTTTGCTTGATGAAGGGACTGCATGTGGTAAAAGACAAATCGATGAAGTGGACCTTGGTTTGCTGGTGACCTCATTATCTCCTTTAGTTTTACGGCACCATCTGTTGGCCATTTCAGCCCCCATTTAAGCTACACATAAGGAGACGTCGGTTTGGAGTGTAATGGGATGCCTCCGAATTAATTTTATTTGTTGTTAACCACTTAATTTGGATTTTGCCACTATTTTATGGGCTTGTGAGTTGAGCTTCTAGATTGTTGTTCTTATTACATATTATTCTGCTATTTGAGTATATTAAGATGCCGTGTGAAGCCAATACACACTGCAAAGGTTTCCAGATCATTTGTGGTATAATTATGTATTATTGTTGCTTTTCTAGATGCATTTGTATCTGCTATATATTCCTATATATTGGTATTATCTCTAATTCAGTCCCGAGTTGAGACGCTTGCTTCATGTAATCCAGCATATCGGCATATACATTTTATTCTACTGTACACTGCAACTGCACATCCGTACAGGGATGGATGCATGGCCCTGGACCCAATCTGTCTGATTCCAGGGTTGTTTATCTGTCCTTGTATAGATGTAAAGCTCGGAAAAATCCATGCAGCCGCTGCACCATTGAATTTTAGGGACTGCTGGCCGCAGCTGTATGGAGCACTGCACATAATTATTCAACAAGGCTGCACCCACCCCAAAGTTGTTGCTGTGTATATTCCATCTAGTCACTGGTATACTTAGCAAAAAATGTTGCTTTTTCTGATAAGTGAACTGCTACATTCCCAAGCACCATTTACTTGGAAACAGATTGGGGGGCATTTATTAGTTCTGTTGCAAAACAAGGCAACGCTAAACAGGAGAATTGAGACAGATTAGGAGACATATTAACTATATCATTGCAGCTTGATTCCTAAATTCCTCCCCTTGCTACTTTAAATTAAGAATGCAATAATAAACTGCCTGTCCAAAAAAGAAATTCACCACCTGGATTTAGCTAAGCAAATAGGTCAGAGCCTTCCATTGGATAATAGGTCTAAGCTCAGCAAGGTCATGTCCCTAAAAAATGAGGTCATCTGCTACCTGAATGCACTGAATGACCAGGTTTTTCCATCAATTGATTTTTTTCTTCCCTGATAACTAGTAATAATATTCCAAGATGACAATGCCAGGATTCATTGGGCTCAGATTGTGAAAGAGTGGTTCAAGGAGCATGAGACATCATTATCACACATTAATTGGCCACCATAGAGTCCAGACCTTCACCCCATTGAGAGTCTCTTGGATGTGCTGGAGTAGACCTTATGCAGTGGTCTGGCTCTCCCATCATCACTACAAGATCTTGGTGAAACAATAATGCAACTCTGAACTGTTGCGACCAGAACTTATCAAAATGATGCCACAGCGAATGTGTGCCGTAATCAAAGTTAAGGCGGTCCAACGAAATATTAGAGTGCAACCTTTTTTTGGACAGGCAGTGTATAAAACCTTCCCCTGACCAATTCTTAAATGTTAGTCTGTATAGAGTGAAAATCTCATCTACAGTAGTAAACCTGTCACAGACCTTAGCCAAACTGTCTCCGTTTGCTGACCAGGACTGCAGGCACAGGGGTTGCAAGTGCACAAAAAAAAGAGGCAGCCGCATTTGCGATAGATGTGTTAAATGTTGTCATTAATTTGCTTGGTAAGTATGTCACTTTATTTCACCTATTTGTGATTTTTAGCACTGGCAGCATACATTTGGTTAACTTGACCTTAACTTTATGACTAATTTGCTGCCTAAATAATTTAAAACATTTATTTTAGGGACATGTAATGCTTCTTTTTCTTTTGGTACACAGATTTTATGCATTCCTTGCGATTTATTATATTTGTTTGACAACTGACAAAAAAGTAATTTATATATATAATCGGGAAGACAAAAGAGCAGTGTAAGACAATTTTTATTTAGTTTCATTCAGGCAGTATGTGGGGTATATTAAATTGCCTTGAGACAAGAGACCTCCATTTTCAATAAGAAATAGCCAATTCGGATTTTATTTACACTATCAGATAGGTAACTACTGACACCAATGATCACCAATGAAAGGGGCAATTCTCCATTGACCACCAATGTGAGGGAACATTTAACATTTTTAGTGTCTGCATTTACTTTCTTTTATTTATGATGATTATGATTATTAATAATAATAATAATAATAATAATAATAATAACAACAGTTTCATTATATTATTATTATTTAATATTTATTTGTATTAGTAATAATAATAATAACAACAACAACAATATGTAATTACATTATTCATTATTTAGTAGTATTTATTTGTATTTCTCAACTTTCTCCCCATGCTAATGTGCCAAATGTAGATATAATAATTACTAGCGAGGGTTCCTTGAGACCTAAAAGTTTTTACTCAAGTGTATCTCCTTATGAAAAAGCTTGAGAAATGCTGATCTATGCTCATAGGTCTGTTATGCATCCCAAATGTAATGCAAAGTGGGTGACCTGAATTTTTAAGCCGTATTTTTTGTTGACAAATTTTATATTATGCTGTGATTTTTTTAATGAATATGTTACGTAGGAAAAATTATAATTGAAAAAGTTAAGTATATCTAAACTAAAAAGCAAACATTGTATATATTGCAGCTTACCAATTCTGTAGATGTGGTAAAAAAAATAGTTTTATTTTTTCCTTTATATTTACCTGGTGATCTGGCCAGTAAGTCTGTTATTTTTCAACTTCCTTTAGCAGACCAAGCTGTCCAGCAAATGTGGCAGCTAGAGGGTTGAAACAAACCATTGAACACTGACAGGAGTGTTTAAAATGATCAGCTTTCATTCCTTTATGTAAAACCTTTATTACAAAAAAAACCCAAAATGTTAAGAAAGTGTTAGCTGGCTTTCTGATTTAATTTGTTAATCAAGTCCACCAAAATCTGCCAGCACATCTAACACCACCCTCCGCACAGGGTGACAATGCTACTGTTCAAGAATGATTCCACCTAAGACAGGAAGTGTGTTACTGGCCAGATTTCCAAGTGAAAATAAAGAAAAAACAGAGCCTAAAAAGCAAAAACTAATGCAACCCACACATTTAAGGATTTGTAAGCTGAAATATATAACATTTTACTTGCAGGCTTATTTAGACATGTGAACTTGCCTTCATTAAAAAAAAAAAACCTCAGTGAGGATGATGAGGAATTATTGAGGAAAGAAAAAAGCTTAGCAAAATGTGTTGGGAAACTCATTAAAGTTTTCCTTAGAGTACATTTTTTGGATTAAATTGTATAACAAATACAAAATAAATTACAATAAGTTTTAAACATACAAGAAAGAAAAAACACATTTATGTGTTTTGTCTTCATTATCAAAGCAATCCGTGCTGTATGATAATTTACTGGTACACTAAATGATTGATAGAATAAGCCTAATTAAAAGAAATGTATGAGCAAGCTCAATATGACCTTGGAATTATAACCGAGAGGTATAAATCAGTACTTGGGATGTGTCTTTGTTTTAAGAAATGTACTTAGTAGAGAAAGTTTTCAATTTCCCCTAATCTTTTTGTTGCATGCTTCATATTTGCGCTAATGTTTTTATAACCTGCAGGTGTCACTATATATTTTCTTGGAGAAGACAGTCTATCAGAAAGGCTCACTTTACATTACAGTAGTATACGAAAAGATTCACTGGTGTAATTATGTGAAGATAAACCTAAGAAACCACTGTGTAACAATTTAAGTACAAAGTCATTTAGTTTGAATTCTAATCCTATATATATTTGTGTCCTCTGCACATTGTGCCAAAGAGCTGATTATATTATTTACCTGAATATTATGTCTTACTAACAGAAAGTTTAAGTGACACCTTTATTGGCTAACTTAAATTGACACTGAACTCAGGAGCTAAACCCTAAAAATACATTCAAGTATCCTAACTATTAACAAAAATGTATCTTATTTGTGTATCACTCGGCTGTAGATTGTCGACTGTCCTTCCTTCTAGAGGGGGTCTACTTTTGTTCCCCATGGTCCCTGTGTGTGTTGTAATGTAGCCACCATTCCAAGCTCGCTTCCGTGATGGACTACAATCTCAATACAAATGAGTAAACTAAATGTGAGATTGTAGTCCATCACAGGAGCAAACTTGGAGCGGTGACTACTTTACAACACACACAGGGACCATGGGGAACAAAAGTAGCCACCCTCCAGAAGGAAGGACAGGGTCAGCACCAAATCAGTGATGATTTGAGGATCTACAGCCGAGTGATACACAAATAAGATACATTTTTGTTAATAGTAATGTTACATTGTTAAGATTTAACTCCTTAGTGTCACTTTCAATTCATATTTTCAGGAGCTTTATGTCGCTTGCTCAGACATTATACCCGAGGAAGGGTATTAAGGTATATTGCTCGAGGAAGGATCATAAGAACCCCAAAATTAAGATTAGCCAATAAAAGGTATTACACTTTCTGCATTGATTTATAACTAACATGGTACAAGCCTTTACTAGTGTTATATCATACTGGAAAAGAACATTTTATTGCAAGCCATAGATGACCAAAAATTTAAATTAATATATATATATATTTTTTGGCAGATATTGTACGCAGTGACATCTCTCTGGACAAACAGAAAGGGTGCAAAATAGCTCAGCATCCAGACACCATGCTTGAACTGCAGAGAGAGAAGGCAGCCCAGATGCATTTGGTGTTACTAAAAGAACATTTCTCGAACACCTACAGCAACCTCACGCTAACTGGTAAGAACTAAAGATATTTTTATCATGTACAGTGAGTGAGGATAAGTGATTGCTAGAGCACATCTAGCTTTTAAGGTAATAGGGAATGTCTACTATTTTGCATATATTTATTTTATTTTTTAGTCTCTTTCTGAATGAAGAAATCACATCTTTGCGTTTTTATATTTCATATATAAAAATTAGAAATGCTGCATATAAATTTGCCATATTTACCTCTTGCATCCAGCAAGTGTTCAGTGTGAGGCTACTCCAGGTTTTCTGGAGTCTGATTTAATCCTTTGCTGTGAACCGCTGATGTTGTGAACAGACCTTAACAGTAGAAGATCAAATATTACAGTTGAATAATTTAGAGGAGGGACACATCCCCTTTCTTTTTCAAGTACAGATGGACCCATCCAAATTTTTCTTTTGGATTTACTCTGCAAAAACAGTTAACTAGTGCAGAGCCCTTGCTGGGCTTTCTTATTTGAATGCACAGCATGTTATGCATTTTTATATTTATTATCTTGTACCATTAAAATAGATATCTAAAATAAAGTAAACCAAAAAACATTATAGCTTCTCTGCTAAGAAAAGTTCATTGGTCTGGTGATATCACCACTGAATCTTTGATTTTTGCATTTGCATGCAGTGGGGTTGATTTACTTAATTTGTAAACTTGAATACCCAATTGTTTGTTTGGAATTCGAAAAAAAAAACCAGGGTCTTGCCTTACACATGATTGTATGATTAAAGTAAACCCAACTTCGCTTTTCAGCCCTTTACATCTATTGTTGTGGTTTTGGTTTACAAAAGTTAAATAGAAAAGGCGATTAAGAGGGTATATGATCACATTGTATAAATACATAAATAAATAACCAATATTCCTCTAGAACTACTGAAGATTTGGGTTATTCACAAAGCTAGCCGAAGGATCAGCCGTAGCTCCAGCTGATCCTTCGGCTAGCTTCGGCCGCCGGAGCCCTTCGGTTCAGTAGAGCCGAATGGTGCTCGGGGGCATTCGGCTATTCACTCACTGCCGTTCGGCCCCTATGATAATAGGCCGAACGGCAGCGAGTAGCCTGCTGGGGGTTCAGCTCAGCCGATCCAGATGTTGGATTGGCTGAGTCAAGCTCCTTCTGCACTTCGTGGTGCAGAGCATGTTCGGCTGAACCGAAGCCAGCCAAAGCAAGCCGATGGATGGCTGATTTCAGCCGTACAAGCCTGAACTGAATAGCCTTTGGCAGCTTTGTGAATAACCCTCCAAGGGTTCTAAGAATGCAGATTTTTTAAATCTATTTAATTTTTTCTTCTAGTTGAACTGGATGGACATTCATCCTAACTATATAACTATGCAGCATAGAAAACCAATCCCATTCTCTGGCTTTTTGATGTTGTTACCCGATTCATATTTTCTACTATGTTCCAATTTTTTTTCAGTTGCAGTAAATGTTTATAGTGTCTTTTCCCTATGCTAAGCTGAAATACCCAACACCAGTTCACCGTTGGCTTTATCATGACTGTCCCTCCATCACATGACTGTGGGAAAAAGAAATCCATAATGCACTACAAAAGTCGCTGTGCTGCGTTCAGCCGTTTCTAAAATAAATCACTCTCCCCTTACTGATGTTCCTCTTTTGAATTGAAAACTTGTCATAATGAACCTTGCATATCTCAAGGAAGCTGTGAGCTATATCGTGTACGGCCACCCAGGAGGGGCAGGTTATAGAGGTGATATCAATATAAACACAGTCCACCGGACTGCCAAGAAAACCCCAAGGACAAGAACAACCAGAGAAATGTTGAAACAAGCTGCTTTTTATTTGAGCTCAGCAAAGGAAATAGACACTGCACTTTTCAAAACTAAATTGAAGTATTTCATTCTTTAATCTCTTTATAGTCATGTAGGCAGTGGTGTCCCTAGCCTTCTTGCTGAGGCAGGGGGGGTGGTGGTGCACGCAATCAGAGCAGTGGGAGGTGGGCAGAAGAGACAGCATTGCTGACCACTGCAGGTTCTGAATCTCCCCACCCTGCTCTTAGCAACCTGGGATGCTCTGTCTGGAAAGGGGGCGTTAAAGGGATGGCCCTGCCTGTACCTCGACAAGTTATGATTTGTGACTTATTTTTGCATGCTTGAATTGCAGAGAAGGAAAGGAGGCATGAATGTCCAAATCTGTTACATTACAGAGAGCACTGGGTCTTTCTCTGGATCCTATTAAACTGCAAAATTACATTTAGATTTCCCCTACTGAAACAGGAAAGTGGAGATAAGTGGAGAGTAAGGCTATGTTCACACCAGGCCTGGATCAGATCTGCAGCAGATCTGCAAATGCAGTGCAGTGCATTTTTGCCACAATTTTTGGCTTCAATTGGGCTTTCAGGTACAGTCCAGTACGTTCCAGTGCGTTTGCATGCATTTTTCATGCATTTTTCATGCATTTCCATGCGTTCCAGAATAGAGAAAATGAGACAAGCCATATTTTTTTGCCTGTACTGGAACTGACTGCACTGATGTGAACAGAGAAATACAATGGGGCTACATTAGGATGCTTTTTTGGTCTGGGAACAAACTGTTTTGGTCTGGACATGGTCCGGACATGGGGTGAACAAGGGCTTGTACCAGTACGTTCAAGGACGATTAGCTACTGGAACGCACTGGATGATATCCTGGGCGGCTCCCTGCATTCTAGGGCGGGAGGGGGCATGGTGGTGCATGACTGCAGTGCCATTGACTTGAATGCACCGCCATGCCTCGCCCACCCCAGGATGCAGGGAACTGGCCAGGATGCGATCCAGTTCGTTGGAGACTGAAAGAGAAAAGTGGAGGTTGTTAGTGCAAAAACTGCATATCCAATACTGCAACTTCAATTGGGCTTTAAATAATAAAATGGCAAGTTCTAAAGTCAAATATGTACCCTGTCCCTTAAAGTGGAAAAGCCAATGCTCACTGAAAGTAAAGGGATTTAGTGGTGCAAGTTCAGCAGACCAGCGAGCTTGTGAATGTAGCTGATAGCCTTACTACAGCTGAGAAAGTTGTGGGCATAATCCCTGAATCAGTAAAAGCCTCTATTGGTGTTGTGTATGTTTTCTTATTTAACACATAAAAAATAAAAGATTAAAACTGAAAGTAACTGACAGTTATATTAAAAGGAATGTATAGGTTTTTTTTGCCAGGTAGACAAGAAATATATATTATTCAGATTTGTATCCAGCCAGCAGGTGGATATTTGAGCTTCTTTGTTTCCTCTGTCTCCTTACCACCTGTAAAAAGCCTGTTTACAGATCTCAGTAGCTAAAGCTGAAATTTACATTCACAAGTGAATTAATAAGAAGAATGATTCATACCTTATCTAAGCCATCTAAGGTCCCATAGGAGCTTTTGCCATAATGTTCAATGTGTAATTGATTAGGCTTTCCTGCTACTTTTAGGGCCATGTCACACTACTACAAATCTGTCTGCTTGCTTGTTTTCTCTTGTGAATTGATGGTGTAGCTGACTACAATACTCATCAAAGCAGCTACAGATTGCTGTTGTGCCATGGTTATCAACATCTGTATAGGATAACATGAGTACCTACTGAAACGGGTGATCCTGTAGCAGCTCCAAACCCCGCAAAACAGCCAGTGACTGAGCTACAAATCGCTTGGAATGTCTGGGTAAGATTTTTTAGGACTACAATTTTTTTCATAGCAACAATAGCACTAAGCTACATTGCTGCTGTGAAACCAGAGGCACCCCTATAATGAGGCAGCACATGGAGGCTGCTTTAGGCATCATCACCCCACACCCCCTTGTAATGTGCACCACCCCAACCCCCGGCTCAGGTGGCAAAAAGTGTAGGGACACCCCTGTGTAAAATCACCAGTGTGACATGGGCCTTACTGTTAGTTGCTTTTGTAAGTGTCTCTATTATTATCATTGTACTGCATTCAGATAAGATTCATAGGGGTTGATTTACTAAAAGCAAAAGACTGTTCACTGTACAAGGGAATGTGCACTTTGCAGGCAATTTCCCACTTGAATGGAATGAAGCTCTGCTGACTTCCATCATCCAGTCAGGTGCGAGCAAAAATACAGTTTTTTTT